CGGTGCCGTGCTGCCCCCCGGCGCGGGGCGCCGCCAGCCACTGGGAGCACTGGGGGGGATGATGGGGAGGTGGAGATGAGGAGGGGGGGGGAGATGATAAGGAAGGGATGGAGATGATGCCTCTTTTGGGCCAGCTCTCGGATCCCCAAGCCCCACCCTATGAATAAACCATCTTTTTGGGACGGCTCTGGGACAACCCCAAGCCCTTCCCCCCCCAAGGATAAACCCCCACCTGGGACAAGCCCAAGTCCCACCCCATGACTACGTTCCCCTCTCAGGAAGGCCCTGGTTGCCCCCAGCTCACCCGTGAGCTGCGTGACAGCAGTGGCAGCCAGTGCCTCGGTGGCCAGTGTCACCATCTCATCAGAAGCCACCGTGACAATGTTGACCTCATCTCCTTCCTCGGGCTCCAGGATTTTGATCCCAGCCTTGCCCTGATGGACCGTCTTGACGTGGGAACGCAGGTTGTCCACCCGGTTGAAGCCCCGGCCACACTTGTCACACAGGAAGGGCTTCTCCCCTGGGGAGGAGTCGAGGAATTTGGGGGGTGGGTGAAGATTTTGGGGGGTTAACTGAAGATGTTTTGGGGTTCCTTATTTTTTGGGGCTAAAGATCTGTTGGGGTTGAAGACTCTTTTGGGTGAGTTTAAGACTTTTTAGGGTTAAAGATTTTTTGGGATTAAAGACTTTTTAGAGTTAAAGACTTTTGGGGGCTAATTAAAAATGTGCTGGGGTTAAGGATTTTTTTGGGTTAAAGGTTGTTTTGGGGGATTGATAAAAGACTTTCTGGAGTTGATTAAAGACTTTTTGGATAGTTAGATTTTTGGGGGTTAGTCAAAGACTTTTTGTGGTTAAAGATTTTTTTGGGGGTTAAAGATTTTTTTTGGGATTAAAGATTGTTTGGAGGGTTAAAGTGTTTTTGGGGTTAAAGATTTTTTTGCGGGTTAAGTATTTTTTGGGGTTAGTTAAGACTTCTCTGGGCTAGTTAAAGATTTTTTTGGGTTAATTAAAGACTTTTTGGGACTAGTTAATACTTTCTGGGGTGAAAGACCTGGGGCAGGGAGGGGGGGTTTTGAGGGCACCCACCCGTGTGGATGATGATGTGCTTGGAGAGGTCACCCACGTTGACAAAGGCCTTGTTGCAAACGGTGCATTTGTGGGGTCGGATGTTGTCGTGGTGGCGGATGTGGTTGGCCAGTTGGCTTGACTGGACAAATCTGGGAAGGAAAACATGGGTATTTCTGGCATCTCCACCTACCCTCCACGGCCGAGTGCCATTCTGGCCCCTGGCTGTGGAGGGTGGGTGGAGGTGCCCCCTAAAAATCCCAAGAGTGAAGCCCCCCAACCTCTTCCCACAGCGCTCGCAGACGTAGGGTTTCTCCCCCGTGTGCTGGCGCACATGGGCGATGAGGGAGCTGGCTTGGGTGAAGGCTTTCCCACAGATCAAGCACTGGCACGGCTTCTCTCCTGAAGTGGGGCAAAGGGAAAGGGGTCAGAAAATATTGGGGTGTCCCCGCTCAGAAGCCCCCCGTCCCCCCGGGCAGTACCGGTGTGGATGCGGACGTGCCGCTGCAGCGCCCCGGGGTCGGCGAACTGGCGCTGGCAGTGCACGCAGACGTAGGGCTTCTCCCCGCTGTGGATCCGGAGGTGACGCTTCAGGTTTCCTGGGAGAAGAGGGAGAAGAAGCCCAAGGAGGGCACAAGGATGTCACCAGCCTGTCTCTAGACTTCCCAGGGAAAGCTCAAGCATCCAAGAGGGAAGGGATCCATCCAGAGGGACCTTGGCAGGCTGGAGAGGTGGGCTAGGGACAACCTCATAAGGTTCAACAAGGTGCTGCACCTGGGTTGGTGCAACCCCAGGCACAAATCCAGGCTGGGGGGAGAATGGCTGGAGAGCAGCCCTGTGATGAGGGACCTGGGGGTGAGAGTTGATGAGAAGCTGGACATGAGCCACCAGTGTGTGCTGGAGCCCAGAGAGCAACTGCATCCTGGGCTGCATCCAAAGAAGTGTGGCCAGCAGGGCCAGGGAGGAGATCCTGCCCCACTGCTCAGAGCACGCCTGGAACACTGTGTACAGTTCTGGTGCCATCAGCACATGAAAGATGTGGAGCTGTTGGAGAGGGCCCAGAGAAGGGCTACCAAGATGATCCAAGGGCGGGAGCAGCTCTGCTCTGGAGACAGGCTGGGAGACTTGGGGTGTTCAGCCTGGAGAAGAGAAGGCTCCAGGGAGACCTTAGAGCAGCTTCCAGTGCCTGAAGGGGCTCCAGGAAAGCTGGGGAGGGACTTTACACCAGAGAAGACAGTGATAGGACAAGGGGTGATGGTTTTAAACTGAGAGAGGGGAGATTGAGGTTAGATATTGAGAAGAAATTCTTCACTCTTAGGGTGGTGAGGAACTGGGATGGGTTGCCCAGGGAGGTTGTTGATGCCCCATCCCTGGAGGTTTATAAGGCCGCGTTGGAGGAGGTTTTGTGCAACCTGGTCTAGTGCTGGGGGTCCCTGCTCATGGCAGGGGGGGTGGAACTTGATGATCTTTAAGGTCTCTTCCAACCTTAATGATTCTATGATTCTATATTTATGGAGCAGGGATGGTGCCCAAGTGCTGGTTCCTGGAGGGGAGGACAGGGCAGTAAAGTGGTGAGAACAGATGGAACAAACATTGGAATGTTTTAGGGGATGGAAAGTCTCCATCGAGCTCTTTCAGACCCTTTGGCTCTGCAGCAGCCTGGGGAGGAGAGAAGGAATGTCTCTGTGGCTAAAAGCTGGATCAAGGATCCCTCCAGCATTCCCAAGGGGTGATCCCATGGGAAATACCAGCCTGGTCCCACGGGGGGGGAGATCCATGCACCACAACCACGGCACCACACGGAGAGGTTTAAATCCTCCTCTGCCCAGGATGAAACCACAGAATCCCAGAGTGGTGGGGTTGGAAGGGACCTCTGGAGATCATCCATCCAACCCCCTGCCAGAGCAGGATCCCCTAGAGCAGATTCCACAGGAACACATCCAGGTGGGGCTGGAATGTCTCCAGAGAAAGAGACTCAGCCTGTCCCAGGGCTCTGCCACCCTCAGCATTTCCTTATGTTCAGGTTGAATTTCCTGTACACCAGTTTGTGACCATCTTTCCATCATCCTTCCTCCAGCTCCCAATCCTGCACAGAGCTGTTCCTGTCCCCTCCCCTGAGCCAACCAAATCTCCACCACTGCCACCTCCAACCCCTGGGGCTACCTGAAGTGGTGAACTGTTTGCCACACTCCCGGCACTTCAGCGGCCCATCAGCAATGTGAATCTTCAAGTGAGCCTTCAAGTTCCCCACCTGGAGACAGACAGAGGGATGCAGATAAACCACCCCCCATCCACCATCCACTTCTGGAATGATCCAATCCCTATTCTTTCCCTTTCCACCCAACTCACCTGGTTGAACTTCTTGTCACAGTGGGGACACTTGTGCTCCTTGTCGGTGTCGTGTGTCTCCAGGTGCCTCATTTTGGAGGTGGGGTCGGAGAAGGAGCGCCCACAGTAGTCACACTGGTAGGGCTTCTCACCACTGTGGACCAGCTGGTGCCTTTTGAGGTTGCCCGAGGTGGTGAAGAGCTTCCCACAGTCATCACAACGGTACTTGGCCTCCCCCGTGTGCCTCTTCTTGTGGAGGTTCAGCCGGCTGATCAGGCGGTAGCTCTTCCCACACTCCTCGCAGCCGTAGGGCTTCAGGGGGCTGCAGGAGGAGAGGGAGAAGATCTATGGAATGTTTAGACTGGATGTTGGGAAGATAAACAAAAAAAACAAACTGGGAAGGGGTGCCCAGGGAGGTGATGGAGTCACCACCCTTGGTGTTCCAAAAATGCGAGGATGTGGCACTTCTGGACAGGTCTGTGTGGGCCCGGTGGGTGGTGCTGGGTGGTTGGTTTTGTTGTTTGGGTCTTTTTCTCTCTTCCTCCTGGATTTAACAGTTGGACTCTGACCTAAGAGGTCTTTCCCAACAGTGACAACTCTGTGATTCATAGAATCATGGAACGGTTTTGGTTGGAAAGGAACTTAAAAGATCATCTAGTTCCAACCCCCCTGCATGGGCAGGGACACCTCCCACCAGCCCAGGTTTCTCAGTGATCACCACATCAGGGGGGGACAGAACCACCATGCTGAGCTCTCCCCACCCAAGCTGCACCCATCTGGATCACACAGGATGGCTCCAAGCGACACGGAAGGGAAGGATGGGGACAGGAAGATGGATCTCATCATCATCACCCCACCATGCTGATGGACTTCACATGGATTTGAACTTCTGCACCAAAAGCCACAGGGTTTTTTTGGTGCCACCAGAGTCTTTCCACAGCTGGCAAATGAGAGTCTCCAACCTGGCATGCCAAACCCTCTGGATTGATCCAAGTGGGAGAGCCACCATTCCAGCCTCTTGGCTCAAAACTTTCCATTGTCACAAGCCCTTCCCCAGCCAGCCTGGTGGCACCTCCAGGTCCCTGGTGCTGCTTTACCTGTGGGTCTTCTCATGGGCTTTGCAGGCAGCTGGGTCAGAGAAAGCTTTGCTGCACTCCCTGCAGGAGAAGGGCTTCTCCCCCGTGTGGATACGGATGTGCCGCTTGAAATTCCCGGTGTGGGTGAACTCCTTCCCACAGTCCTAGGGACGGAGAGAGGCAGGTGACACCCGGTGACACCCTGTGTCCCAGGGGGCAGCAGGCCCAGCCCCAGTTGGCCTCACCTCACACTTGTGTGTGACGGAGCCATAGGCTTTGGACTCGGTCCTGTCGCTGTAAATTCCCGAGGGCAGCAGCCGAGGTTCTCCCAAGTTTTCCTGCCCGGAGTCAGCGTTTCCAGCTTCGTTCTCTTCAGTGTTTTCTCCATTTTCCAGCCTGGGCTGCTCCTCCTCAGGGGTTTTGACCTCTGTGTCCTCCCCTGCTGTCCCCTCTGCCTCTTCCTCCTTCACTTCCGGCTCCGTCTCTGCAGGCAGTTGGAAAACAGGGATGCTGGAGATCGGGAGCAGCTTTGGAGACACAAAACTCACTTGTATTCCCTAACTCTAAGTCTGGGTTTTAGGCAACAGGGATTCATAGAATGGTTTGGGCTGGGTTGGAGGGACCTTCAAGATCATCTAGATCCAACCCCCTGCAAGGGCAGGGACACCTCCCACCAGCCCAGGTTGCCCCAAGCCCCATCCAACCTGCCCTTCAACACTGCCAGGGATGGGGCAGCCACAGCTTCCCTGGGAAACCTGGGCCAGGCTCTCACCACCCTCACAGCAAAGAATTTCCTCCTCATGTCCAACCTCAATCTCCCCTCTTCCAGTTTTAATCCACGACCCCTTGTCCCCTCCCTACAAGCCCTTGTCCAAAGTCCCTCCCCAGCTTCCCTATAGATTAGATGACCCTGAAATCCTGATGCCAAAATCTCTGCCCAGGATCAGTTTGGATTTGCGGGTTATCAGCCCCAAAATCCCACACCCTGTGTGGCCAGAGGAGAATTCCCCAACCTCTCCCAGCTCTGCCCGATGGAAAACCGCTCCCGTGGGCTCCACGACTGGCAGGAAAAGGTGTTTGCATGGATGAAACTCCCACCAGTGCATGGAAAAGAAGGGTCCAACCCTGCCCAGCTGGAGGGCAGGGGAAGGCAGCAGAGCCCCCCATCCCCACCCTTGCCCACAAACCTCCTGTCTTGGTGCCCTCAGAGATGTTTCCCGTCTCGGCGGGGCAGCCGCTGCCCAGCGCGCTCTCTGCCGGCTGTGGGTGGCTGGGAAATTTGGAGTTGGAGGCCTCTTGGATGGCAGGATCTGCCCCTACAACCAACAGAGTGTCTCGGGCACGAGTGAGGAGGCAGCAGGCTCCACGTGGAGGAGCCCAGCAGCAGGGCAGGGCGTGTTTTGGGGGGGTGACAGCGGGGTTTTGGGTGTCAGCAGCTGGTGGTTCACCTTCTTGGCCGCTCGGCTGCTCCGCCTGCCCCTTGGGCTGTGCTGCTGAGGCTGCTGGAGGCTCTTCCTTCCACTGTGGGGTCGGAGGAACTGGTTTGGTTTTGTCAATGTCCCCCCGTGGATCTACAGTCCAGCTCTTGTCCTCCACCGTCGCCTTGTTGGCCCCTGTGAGGATTCCCAAATCCCATCAGGATTCATAGAATCATGGAATGGTTTGGGTTGGGAGGGACCTTAAAGATCATCTAGATCCAACCCCCTGCCTGGGCAGGGACACCTCCCACCAGCCCAGGCTGCTCCAAGCCCCATCCAACCTGCCCTTCAACACTGCCAGGGATGGGGCAGCCACAGCTTCCCTGGGCAACCTGGGCCAGGGTCTCATCACCCTCACACCCAAGAATTCCCTCCCAGTGTCCAACCTCAATCTCCCTCTTCCAGTTTCAATCCATTCCTCCTCATCCCATCCCTCCCTGCCCTTGTCCCAGTTTCCTCCCCATCTTTCCTGGAACCCCTTCAGGCACTGGAAGGTGCTCTAAGGTCTCCCTGGAGCCTTCTCTTCTCCAGGCTGAACACCCCAACTCTCCCAGCCTGGCTCCAGAGCAGAGCTGCTCCATTCCCCAGCAGCACCAGTTCTGGTGCCTCACAAAGGGAACAAACCCCATCCAGATGTGCACCAGGTGGGTTTGGACGTGGCTGAGTCATGGGGCAACCTGGAATTCCCCTGTACAAGGGGTGTGAGGGGGCACATACCCGGGGGTCTCTGGCTCCCACCAGGGCCTTGTGGCAGCGCCGAGAGGGACTTGAGCGCGTTGCAAGCGCTGACAACCTCCTGCATCTGCAGGAACCCGGCCACGGCCAGCACGTCCTCCACGTTGTCAGGGTTCAGGCTCAGCTTGGCTGTGTACATGAACTCCAGAACCTGACCCAGGCCTGCAAGGGAAGGAAAAAAAAAAAATGAGTTCTCACCTCTGGGCTGGACAGTTTTAAAAAAAGCTCAAAAGGGCACAAAAGAACAGGCTGAGGAACCTCCCTCCAACCCAGGCACCAAACTGCTTCCTCAGAGGGGTTTCTTAGGAAGGATCTGCAGAGGGACCTGGCCAGGCTGGATCCAGGGGTTGAAGCCAGTCGTAATTGTGTGATGTTCAACAAGGCCCTGGGTCCTGCACTTGGGTCACACCAACCCCAGGCAACTCTCCAGGCTTAGGAAGAGTGGCTGGAAGAGCTGAGTGGGAAAGAATCTGAGGGTGTTGGTTCAATGCCTGAACACGACCCAGCGTGTGCCCAGGTGGCCAAGAGGCCACCAGCATCCTGGCTGGTGTCAGCACTGGGGTGGCCAGCAGGACCAGGGCAGGGATCTTCCCCCTGTGCTCGGCACTGGGGAGGGGGCACCTCAAGTCCTGGGGTCAGTTCTGGGCCCCTCAGGACAAGAAGGACATGGAGGGGCTGGAGCGTGTCCAGGGAAGGGCAAGGGAGCTGGGGAAGGGGCTGGAGCACAAGTGTGAGCAGGAGCAGCTGAGGGAGCTGGGGGTGTCCAGCCTGGAGACAAGGAGCTGAGGGGAGACCTGCTGGCTCTGCAGCTGCTGAGAGGAGGTTGGAGCCAGGGGGGTCGGGCTCTGCTCCCCAGGAACAAGGGATGGGACAAGAGGAACCTGCCTCAAGTTGCACCAGGGGAAGTTTAGTTTGGATCTTGGGAACAATTCCTTTCTGGAAAGGGTTGTCAGGCCCTGGTCCAGGCTGCCCAGGGCAGGGGGAGGCCCCCTCCCTGGAGGGGTTTTAAAACCCTGGAGATGGGACACAGGGCAGGGGTGGCCTTGGCAGGGCTGGGGGAACAGTGACGACTTGATGACCTTCCAGGCCTTTTCCAAGCAGCCCCATCCTGTGACTCTACTATGGGACAACCCTCTGCCTACCTGCTGCATTGCTGATGTCCAGGTGCACCACGTCCTTCTGGTCCACAAACAGCATCCTGAAGTACTCACTGCAGGCAGCCAGCACAGCCTTGTGGGCCTTGAAGTCGACACCGTCCACCACGAAGGTGCAGTCACACAGCAGGCCCAGCTGCCTCTGCTGGTTCAGCTGCTCCAGCACCTGTTGGCTGTGCTGGGGGAAATCCATGGCTGTGGGGAGGGAACAGAAGACATCCTGTGATGGGGGTGACAAAAGATGTCACAGCAGGAAGGGCCATGAAGGTCTTTTCCAACCGTGATGATTCTGTGAAATGGGAGAGGTCACAAAGTCATGGATCAACCACAACTTGGTGGCCTTGGGAGCTTCAAAATGGACATGAGGAAAAAGTTCTTTGCTGTGAGGGTGGTGAGAGCCTGGCCCAGGTTGCCCAGGGAAGCTGTGGCTGCCCCATCCCTGGCAGTGTTGAAGGGCAGGTTGGATGGGGCTTGGAGCAGCCTGGGCTGGTGGGAGGTGTCCCTGCCCATGCAGGGGGTTGGACTGGATGAATTTTAAGGTCCCTTCCAAACCAACCCATTCCATGATTCTATGATTCTATGAAAATGTGGCCCAAATTTCAGCTCCTCACAACCACCCACCCTCCCACTCCCCACCAGATACAACCCTGCAGGCCCTGCAACACCAGCGAGGGGCTGCAGAGAGAGTTGATGAACACAGAACATTTATTTGGCCATCCTGACAGCTTTAAAAATACATTTCATTCATTGCTTTTCAAGCAGCCCAAGCCATGAGCAGGAGCCCTGTTGCCTCCACAAAGGTGCCCCACGGGTGAACAGATGGTGCCACTGGTGCTACCAAGGGAGGTGCTCACCCATCCCTGGCAGTGTTGAAGGGCAGGTTGGATGGGGCTTGGAGCAGCCTGGGCTGGTGGGAGGTGTCCCTGCCCATGCAGGGGGTTGGACTGGATGAATTTTAAGGTCCCTTCCAAACCAACCCATTCCATGATTCTATGATTCTATGAAAATGTGGCCCAAATTTCAGCTCCTCACAACCACCCACCCTCCCACTCCCCACCAGATACAACCCTGCAGGCCCTGCAACACCAACGAGGGGCTGCAGAGAGAGTTGATGAACACAGAACATTTATTTGGCCATCCTGACAGCTTTAAAAATACATTTCATTCATTGCTTTTCAAGCAGCCCAAGCCATGAGCAGGAGCCCTGTTGCCTCCACAAAGGTGCCCCACGGGTGAACAGATGGTGCCACTGGTGCTACCAAGGGAGGTGCTCACCAAAAATCTTCTAAACTCCTGTTCATTTTAGGTGCTCATGTCACAATATTAAGGGACTTTTGAGATATTTTGTGGTGTTTGGGGGAAGTTCTCCATGCTGGAAGCACAACCTGGGCTCAGGAATGCTGCAGACTCCTGAAAATACTGCCAAAAGCTGTTTTTCAAGGAGGTTGGTGTCAGGAAAGATTGTGAGGGACCATGAGCTTGACCTGAAGTTCACTCTACTTCTTCTCCCAAAAATAACTCCTCCATGGGCTGAAGGATCATTTCATCCATGAGGAAGGGAGGGGGAGAAAGCAAACAGGGACTACCCACAGTTTTCTGTTCAACCTGCTAGGCCAGGAAGTCCCTAAAGAAGAAGACAAGTTCCAGATTGCTGGAAGAAGCAAAGTGATGGCCAGGAGGACTCTTGGTTTTGCTGCTCAGCTGAGTCTCTCTGCAGGTTTCCAACCTCTAGCAGTTATTTTTCCACTTTATCAGCTCTTAAAACCAGCACAGGGAGTCTCGGAGTGGGGAACAGTGACAGGTTTGGATCCACAAAACCAGGCTGGTGGGAACATGTCCCTTGGGATCCATCCCTCAGGATCCATCCCAGCAGGCAGAGGGAGCCTCCTCCTGTCTGGAAAAGGTGCTAACAACATGCTCTGGGAAAGCTCCTCCACTCAAGGATCAGTTCAGCTTCCCAAAACATTCCTGGTGGGAATGAGGAGCCCAGACACCTCCAATAGTGTCAGCTCATGCACGGAGAGAGGAAGTTTCACTCCCAAAAGACACCATTTCCCTTCACATTGACCTCACGGCCACAGCTTTCCCCCAGCTCTCCAAAACACAGGGTGATTTAACCAAACACCCACAATCTATCCCCAAACACACACCCTTGGGGAGCTGGAAAAATCCAGATTTGTATCAAAACTTCCTTAAACCCCGACAGATGTGTGACCCTGTAAGGTCTGTAAAGGAAATCCTGGGAAAAAAAAGAAGGGGGGAGGATTTTCCCAGCAAGACCTGAGACATCCCGACGTTTTTGTGCACTAAAAAGGTGAATTGGGGCAATTTGTGGGAGGCATTTTGCATCTGAATGGTGGTTTTTATCATCCCCTGACTGGACTCTGTCTCAGCTTCACCCCCAAGCTCTGCCAAGGAAGTAAAACTGCAAGGAAAAACTCAACTCTTCCTGAAAAGCTTCACCTTTTCTGCTGTTCCCTCCACCACGTTCCGGCTTCGTCGGAGCAGGGCCGAGGTTGGGATGAGCCACGTGTTGCCCTGATGGGCCCCGTGTCCCCCAGGCAGCTGAGACCACCTCCACATGCTAAAATCCCTGACTCCAAGCCTTCAAAATCCCAAATATCTGTGTCAAAACCCACCATGGTGCATCCAAACACCACCCTGGCTCCCTGCCACTGCCCAGGCCAGTTTGCAGCTCCGTGCTGGGATCTGTCTCCATCCCTGAGCAAATGGGATGCACCAAGATGGGGATGGATCCAGGGGTGGATCCAGGGATGGATGCAGGAGGGGCAAATGCCAAATCAGGAGTTGCTGGTCCACCAACTGCTCAATGAATGAGCTCGTTAGAGTAAATGCACCACTGCTGGCTGCTCAAGGCAGAGGTGCTGCCTGAGGACACATCAGAGCTCCTGGCCTGAAAGAAGAGCCCTGAGGAGACGGACTTGGGGGTGTTGGTGGATGAGAAGCCCAACAGGAGCCAGCAAAGTGCACTGGAGCCCAGAACCCACCCGTGTCCTCGGCTGTGTCACCAGCAGGGCCAGGGATGGGATTGTCCCCTCTGCTCTGGTGAGACCCCCCTGCAGGGCTGGGAACAGCTCTGAGGTCCCCAACACCAGAAGGACAAGGAGCTGTTGGAGAGAGTCCAGAGGAGGCCACAGAGATGATGGGAGCGCTGGAGCTGTGGTGTTCAGCCTGGAGAAGAGAAGGCTCCAGGGCGACCTTAGAGCATATTCTAGTGCCTGAAGGGGCTCCAGGAAAGCTGGGGAGGGACTTGGGACAAGGGCAGGGAGGGATGGGATGAGGGGGATGGATTAAAACTGGAAGAGGGAGATTCAGGGTGGACATGAGGAGGAAATTCTTTGCTGTGAGGGTGGTGAGAGCCTGGCCCAGGTTGCCCAGGGAAGCTGTGGCTGCCCCATCCCTGGCAGTGTTGAAGGGCAGGTTGGATGGGGCTTGGAGCAACCTGGGCTGGTGGGAGGTGTCCCTGCCCATGCAGGGGGGGGTAGATCTAGATGATCTTTAAGGTCCCTCCAACCCAAACCAGTCTGGGATTCCATGATTCTATGAACCCCCCAGGATGGGTGCTGCACTCACCCCTGTGCTGCAAGGACAGGAGATGCCCAGAGGACTCAGGTGGTGGGACTGACAGTTGTGACTCTACTCCAGAGTCTTTCCCCTTCCCAGTGCTCAGGTCAGTCTCTATGCAGCCATCCTGGGAGAAACAGGATGAAAAGTTCCGTTTTTAAACCCAAACCTCGTGTCTCAAAGGTGTTAAGGTCCAACATTCCCAACCCAGGCCTGGGCACTGCCTGATGTCACCCCTTCCCCATCCCACCTCTCCCTGTCGAGTCCCTCCTCACCTAATTAGCCATGGAAAACCCTCCCTGTGGGAACACCCACGTCCTCCACACACACTCCAGGAGATAAATGCAGCAGTGACAGCCCCAGGGAGCTTCCCACACCAGCTCCATTAAGCTCTCTCCCTCATTAATGACATTAACCTCTCCCTGTACCTGCCACTCCAGCTTAAAATAAAAAACCAACCACCCCAAAGCTTTGATAAATTGGAAAAAACCCAAACAAAATAGGGGTTTAAAAGTTGCCTTTGGACACTGGCACCATCCAGGTGCCCCCATTCATTTCTGGGAAGGGAAAAAAGGGAAAAGGGTTTGATTGTCTGCCTACCAGCATCTCCCTTGTCCTGTGTCAGCTCGGGGAACAAAGCAGCTCCAATCCTTCCCGTCCCTGAGATGAAGGGTCTGTCCTCATTTCCAGGGACTGATTCTGCAACATTTTCAGTTTAAAAAAAAAAACCAAACAAGCCATGGAGTTAAGAGCTGATCAAGATACAGGTGTGTTATCAACACTCATGATTGTCCTGAAGGGCTTTTAGTGCCAGCCCATAAGATCTGAAGGTCAAGTCTTGTTAATGAGGAATTTAAGCTGAGCTGCTCCTTGAGATGATCCAAAGCCTTTTAGCAAGAGTTTCTGTGTGAAAAATGATTCAAATTAAACCTCCCTGGGAACTGAATGAAACAGGGAAGGGCTCTAGAGTTGGTGGTTGGTGGTGAAAGCAGCAGGTGACCAGGCATTCAGCTGGAAGGGGGGAAAAATAATCATGGCAGGAAAAAAAAGGTGGAGAAAAGGACCTAAAAGGAGAAAGACATGAGGAAAGGAATAAGCAGAGACACTCTGGGTTCTCCCTCAGCCAACAGAAACTCTGCAGACCCCCCAGTGATGGGGGTTTTGGCCCCTGGCTGTGCCTGTGAAGTGGGAGGCAGAGCCCAGGGCTGGGCAGGTGGGGGGTGCTGAGCCACCCCCAGGGCTCTGCCCTGAAAACCACTCGTCTCTGCAGCCAAACCTTGAAAGAAAAACCTCTCCTGGGGACGCGGCCTGAGCTCTGAAATTCCCGCAAAAGCTTCTGGTGCAGAGACGGGATGAAGGGGAACGTGGCCTGTCCGGGCAGCACCGGCAGCCGCCCCGGGATGTCACCGCGGCGAGAAAAAAAGGCCCCAGGAAATGAGAAAACTCCTGTTTTCGCCTCGAGTTGCCGCTGGGAAGTTCCCTCCGCTCTCCCGCTGGCGCTGCCCGGGGGGTGCGGGGGTCACTGCCCCCCCGGCTGCACCTCGGGCTCTGGGGGGTCACACGGAGCCCCGGGGAAGGCGGGGAGCCCAGAGGCAGCCGCAGCCCC